AGTGACATGATAGCATTACACAGACGCAGGTGCTCATCCCAGAGGTGGTCAGATTCAGATGTGGTGATTGTGCAGCACGTTTGAGTACAGTGAACTCATTGTCGTGTTCAAAAAAACAGTTTGAGATGATCTGAGCTTTGTGACATGGTGTGTTATCCTGCTGGAAGCAGCCATCAGAGGATAGGCATAGGCAATGACATTTAAACAAAAGTTCAACTTTTTAAATGTGTATTTTAAGAAAATATCCTCGTACAATTACACCGGCACCATCAGTCTGACCTGCTGAAAGAAGGCAGAACAGATCCATTCTGCCTTGTTGTTTTCACCTAATTCTGACTTTACCATCAGAATATTGTAGCAGAAATTGACCCTGATCAGGAAATTATGTTCAATCTTCTATTGTCTAGTTTAGGTGAGCCTATGCAAACTTTAGCTTCAGTTTCTTGGTCTTCACTGCCAACAGTGGCACCTGGTTTGGTCTTCTGTGGCTATAGCCCATCTGCTTCAAGGTTCAGCATGTTGTGCATTCAGAGATGCTCTTCTGCATACCTTCATATCATGTTATTTGATTTACTGCTGCCTTCCTATCAGCTCAAAGCAGTCTGGCCCTTCTCCTGTAATCTCTGGAATCAACAAAGCATTTTCACCTACAAAACTGCTGCTCATGGGATATTTTATCTTTATTGGGACATTTTCTGTAAATCCTAGTGATGGTTGTGAGGGAAATTCCCAGTAGATTAACAGTCTCTGAAATGCTCAGATGAGCCCATGTGGTATCAACAACCATGCCACACTAAAATTTGAACTTTGGTAGGAAATCTTACCTATGTTTACATGGCTAAATGCATTTTTCTGCAGGTGTACCTAATAAAGGGTCCAGGGAGTCCATATTCATTTTATACATTATGTTTTTGAAAAGGTGTTTCATATACTGCATTTACTTAGTCAAAGATTTCCCTCTAGAGCAAAGTCCCACTCAGATTCTCTCCTTCCCAAATGGCCCAAAAGTGGTGACTATAATGCAATTAAATGTTTAAAACGCAGAGAAACTAAATATGTGTTTGCATGCATATGCATTTGTGCTACAGCAGAGATAGGGGACTATGACGAGGAGCTGGACTGCCAGCATTTGGAGATGAAGCACTATGTTCCCAACCAGGAATATCTGGACCACAAAATCATCAAGTTTCACAAGAAACACAGGTATGAAGTGAAGCAGAAGACACTGGTGCTCTGTAGTATGCGGACAGTTTTGTCAAACTAGTGTTAATTTTGACCAGAGAAAAAGGGCAAAGTATTAACTGGACGTGGGACTGCGCCTCTTTCCCCCATCCCACCCATAGATTCTTTTTAAAAAAACTATAGATTTGAAAATATGATCATTTCCAACCAAAATGCCACTTTTGAAACATATGTTTGACGTGTTGTTTGAGTCTAACTAGGAGAAATTTTGTTGGAAAAGCAGAAGTGACTGCTGGGTCAAATTGGCAGCAAAACAACAGCAATGCATCCAACTCTCCATAAATCAGAGGTTGGATTGTAATTATGATTCTTTGTTTCTGTCCATAGAGGACTCTCTCCAGCAAACTCCGACATCCAGCTGCTGGAGGTGGCGAGGAAGCTGGACATGTATGGAATCAGGCCTTACCCTGCCTATGATGGGGAGGGAATGAGGATCAATCTGGCTGTCACACACTCTGGAGTGCTAGTCTTTCAGGTGTGTCCACTTCCACATAAAAGGACAAATATTTTTATTTTTTTCCATCAGAAAAATTTCCTCTTCTCTTAAGCTAGGAGTTGCTGTTTTAGCATAAAAAAGTTGGTTTGTGAAGTTACAACACAATAAATTTAATGGATCTAATAAACTAACAATCATTCATTGTATGCGAGATAAAACAAGATATGCGAGATGTATAGAGATAAAACCTGAGGACGTCGGTAATCCTTCTTAGTTTTTATAGTACCAGAAAAGTTTACAATTTCCATGTGCATTTCTCAAAAATCAACTAACAGGTTTAGGAGAGGAACACTGTTTGAGGCTGAATATGTGTGCAGATGCTACACTACACATTACATATAATCTCTCATTGTTTTTTTTTCTTGTGTTTTTCCAGGGAAACACAAAAATCAACACATTCAGCTGGGCAAAGATCCGCAAGCTAAGCTTCAAACGCAAGCATTTCCTCATCAAACTACATGATAAAGTTGGGGTGAGAAACTGATCCAGATTGGGCCACACGGTTTTGCTTTTTGTCCTATTAAGATTTGTTTTTGAGGGGTGTACCCTGCCCCCCACCCTAAGACAGCTGGCATTGGCTCCAGCTCCCCCGCAACCCTGAAAAAGGATAAGGGGAAGCGGACGGGTGGGGGTTTTTTTTGGCCGTTATTCAATAGTTGAGCTGTTAACCTGCTCAACCAGTTAGCTAAACTGGCACACCTACCATTAGTATTTAGTATGGAATAATGAGTGAGTTTATGATGTCTCACTCCCCTGTGAGTGAACAGCAGACTCTTGTGATGGATGCATGAAAAATGGGCAGGTACAAATATTTAAGAGATATTTGGAAGGAACAAAACATTCTGGCGAAAACAGTAAGGCTTTTGTGGAGATCTCCTGGCCAGTAGTTCTAAGTACTTGTGAACAGCATGCAAAGAGGCAATGTAAAGATCAAATCCGATCCATAGCAGCTACCAAGTTACTAATGTAAAGGTTCTACAGCTAGAGCACTGGTGCCAGTTCCCACAGAGCACCCTATGGGGGCTTTTAAGTTCTTCGGTAGAAGACTTTTTGGGACTTGAAGTGCAGACAGCATGCTATACAGAGGTGGTGGTAAATATTTGACTCATCATCGTCTTATTTCATGTCCATCCAGCCCTCGTGTAAGGATACACTAGAGTTGGCCATGGCCAGCCGTGATGTGTGTAAATCATTCTGGAAGATGTGTGTGGAGTACCATGCTTTCTTCAGGCTAGCTGAGGAACCAAAGGCCATACACAAAACTCTGCTGTCATGTAAAGGCTCCAGCTTCAGATACAGGTAAAATGCAGACAAGTGCACATAATGCTATAATCTGAAGGTGCATTCAGGCTTTTGTATAATACATATATATATGTATATATATTAATCATCTTTTGCCCAAAATCAAAGTCATTTACTTACTTCCAGTGTCTACTATGCATGAATTGTTCTCCACCCATTTAGTGGTACATCATCTGGATTTAAGCTTGTACACAAATATTTTGACTCACAAAACTTTTTACTTACCTACTCTTGTAGTGTTTGAATAAACCATCCTGAGCTTTCCAGCTTATCCAAAGGACAGATCATGTCATGGTGATCCGTCTGTCCACAACTCACAAGAATCCCCACTGATAGTATTGGTTAGAATTGAACCAAACTGTGCTCAAAGTCATTTGCTGATTTATAAGCAAAAACCTGAGAACTATGATGGACTGTGAGCGTTTTTTTTTATTACCCTTTTCTTCTGATGAATATTCAGAGTCTTTGTTTTCAGTCAGGTGTGGTAGTGTGTCCATCTGATGTTGGTAATGTTGTTTGGCAGTGGTCGGACCCAGAAGCAGCTGCTGGAGTGTCTGGGATCAGGGGAGAAGAAGCCTTCACACTTTGAAAAGTGAGAGAGAGATTTTATTGATGCTTCAATTTCCTTTTCATAAGCAAGAAACTTGCTTATGCAAGTACTTCAAAAGCAAGGAGCTTGAAGTACTTGAAACGGCAACATATTTTATTAAGCCATCTTATGTAAAGGTCAAAGGATCTGGAACAGAGGAATCTTTTGTGATCAATTTTTATAGTCTGTGTATAACATCTGTTATTTTATTCCTTTCACTGTCTGTCCAGGATGTACAGTCAGACAGACTGTGACCCCAGACAATGTCGATCTTCTCCTGATCTCCTCACAGATGTCTCCAAACAGGTAATAAATATGACTGTTCAGTCTTTAAAACTATTACTTGACACACAACGCATATTCATGTCTGACAAAATTAAAACAGCTACTGTTCTATTATCTGTTTTTAATGGTTTTGTTTAATTAACTTAAAGATCTTTGGGTTTTTAGAAATTTCATTACGTTCTTGGGCTGTTTTTTCTCTTTTTTTACAATTCTCTGATATTATCTAATACATACATACTCTGATATCATATGAGCAAATTAATTAATGGTAGCATAATCAAAATATTAGTAATAAAAACAACTCAAGTGTTCGTGCCTTCTCTTCTCAGGTGTACGAACATTCCCACCCATTCCCACGGTCAAGTCGTGCTCTGGCAATACACAGCCAGGATCAGTTGGACCCACATCATCGAGACAATGATATTGAAATCAACGAAAGAGTGGCTAAACGCAGCCATTCATGTGTTGAGGTCAGCCAGAGGCCTCGCCTCCTCTCCCAAGTCACTCCTCTTTCTCCATCTGTCAACCAGACAACGCTGCCTTCACCCTCACCGAAGACGAGATCTGCTTCGATATCTGTAGTAGAGGACACAAGGGGGGTACGAATCGGGACACAGCGCCAAGCCCAGCGGTTAGCTGGTGTCTATGGAAACCGATCTAGACGTCGACCCAACCCCCAGCCACATCCAGATGCAGGACAGCAGCTGGTCCTTCTCTACCCTAACAGCCCTGCCTACCAGTATCATCCTGTCCTCCCATCGTTCCCATTAGCTGGCTCCTCGCCACTCAACCGACATCCCTACTTGTCGGAATTTGTTGCTGTTTCCTCACTGGAACGAATTCCACATACAAGACGGCGGGATTATGTGACAATGGATGGCATAACACGGCCATCTTTTTACCCAGTGTGTCATGATTCGCCATCTAGTTCACCAATCAGGAGAAACCTCCGCTCCAGTGGTTCAGGTGGGCTGGGATTGGCCAGAATGTACCAACCAGGAAGCAATGGTGCAAGACTCAGGGGCGTTGGACATACAGAGGCAGGCCATTACAGCGATGACTCCAACTTCCTTCCTGGACTGCCTCGCCGTGTAGCCAGCCAACCTGATGTCAAATTAAACCTCTCGAGGAGTTCAAACACTGCCTTTAACCCTGCTTCTGAGTTTCGCCCTCTTGGTTACTACCCCCACCTGACGCGCCCCTCCAGACCCACCTACCTCCCACTAAACTCTTCCCCTCTGCCTGAACGCCCCAGTTCACTATGTATGATTGGCAGCACTGCGGGAAGCTACAGCGACTCAGACCCGGAGGTTTTCTATCCATACTACTGCCCTGCCCCTCAGGTGGGCAAGATGGTACGGTCCGCTGGACTAGCCAGGATGAGGTTTTCATCGGGGAGTCTCCAACTTGATGAGGAGGAAGAGGGGGAGGAGGAAGAGAGGGAGCATACAACAGCAAAAGAAACTGCAAAGAAGGAGCCAGAGGGTGAAGAGGAGAAGAAAGAAAAGAGTGAAGGAGGAGAGGATACGAAAGGAGCGGCAAAGGTTACTGAAGTGACGCTGTAGAAAAAGATTAAAACATTACAGCGATTCATGATCACAGTCAAAACTGGAAGGATAATTTAAAATAGCACATCCTCTGCAGACTGTAGATAACACCATAAATGTATTAGATAAGAAGTGTGTCGTTTTGAGGTGCACTGGCAGATGAAATGTATTTTTTTGCCTTCTTCAAGTGAAAACCTCAGATTTTGAAAATGGGCTACTGTTTTAGTGGCTATTTTATAGGTGCAAGCTTACAAAAACAAGTAAATAAATAACAATAATAATAATAATTAGTATTTTAGAAATTAAAGATGTTTGACAAATTAAAGCAGCCAACAATTTAAATTTTTTGTTAAGGTGTTTGAGCCACTACAACATTAATTCTTCAGACATTCCTTTACCAGAGGGGTATGGGCACCAGTTTTCCCTCATTTCATGCCTTGATGATGATCATCAAATGGAGACACATTGGTCTCCTGAAGATGTTAATTTTAGTTGCGATCTGGTGACTGAAGTTCATAGGCTACTCCTTAAGCCGTGTTAACTATAAGGTAGGCCCATATATAGGTGGAGGCACTGTCATCCTGAAATAGACCACTCACATCCCATACAACTGGTCAACCAGAACAACTTTCTATTGGTTTTCATTTTTTGTTCCCTCTAAGGCAGGGGTGGGCCATTAATTTTTCCAAGGGACTACATGAGAAACTGGGACTGTTGTGCAGGGCTGCATCAATTAAGCTTATTGGTGTGGCCATCCAAAAAAGTCCCAGTTTCTAACGTGGCCCCTCGGAAAAAGGAAACCGCAAAATACCCCAAATGTCTTAATAGAGCCAATGGATGCTCTAATGGCCAAGCATTCTAGGCTGTGCTTTTCTCTTGATGTCGTTATGTGTGTCCTTTATGCAGTCTCTCACTTATTGACAGTATGGTTAAGGATGACTCACCAGAACATAACACTTTTCCACATTTCTGCAGACCAGTGCCTATGTTGCTTTTTTTGCTTTGTTACCCCTTTCATTGAAGCACTCTATAGCTATGTGCAGTACATGTGTGAAAAGCATACCTAGGTTGAAGAAAAAAAAAAATGGATGAACCAACTGTGACGTTAGCTTTTCGGCCACTGTTACACTAGTTTTTGGAGCCAGAATTTACCATATCTGGACAAGTTATCAGTTGCTGGTAAAAAAGGAGAGTGTTTGGTCACAACCCCCCTGATAAAGAAAATCTGTATTCCCCAATTGACTGGGCAGTGGATGCCAAGTGAGAGCCGTTAAATTAATATGGTACTGCACTGAAAACCTCTTTTTGATTGATTTGCTCACTGGCAGATCACCATGTGATCCTGTTTGCGTGGAAGATGGAGACTTGTCTACAAACAATCACCTAGTGGTGGTGAAACTCTGAAAAGTGCATCTATTGAAGAGTATTGATTTTATCATCTTTGATGTTGCTAACCACAGGCAGCAACCTCCACTGCCAGCTGGTAAGGGAAAACATATTTTTTTACATAGTAAATAGTGGTTGCCAAGGGAACAACAACCGATCTGTGTGTAACTGAGTTTTAAAGTACGAAGTATATGCCAAGAATCTGCATTCTTGGCATTGCCTTTAATGGTCCATAATTGTCTATATTTCTATGTGATCGTCCTCACTGACTGTCCAAAGTAAAACATAAGCGACATGTGTATCAACAAAGACCCTTGTTGCTACATGAAAAAAAAAATGCTAAGAGAGAATGAAATCCCTGTTGCCGTTTATATGCATTTATAGCTATATGCAAACACTAGCCATACCCTTACCAGTTAATCCAGCCTATCAAGCACTGGAATCTAACATTCACAGATTGTGTGGATTGGACTGAAGTCGTGTGGAGTCTGTTTTGATCCCACTGGACCAGCGAACTATTAGCAATGTGGTAGTTGTGCTGGCTTTAATCTTTCCCACAGACTAAAATGATGGTCAATTTGATCACGATCAGATCATCTGAATTTCACGTTGTGTTATTTAATGTTGCCATACTGCTGTATTTGGAGACATTTCAGACTAATGGCAATGGTTTAAAAACAGAGCAAAACAATAATAATAAATAATCAAACACCAATAAAAAGAAATAATTTTTAATCTGTGTGAAAATGACTAAATTAATCTTGATGTCTGTTGGAAAAAGACCTTCTAGGACTTAAATATAAAGTCTTTGTGTGTGGGTATGCCTTTATAATGTTGGTGGAATCATTTTCTAGGTGATGTAGTTATATAATGTATTGTTACTTCTGTAGAAAAAAGTGAACTTTGGGTTTATATATATTACAGTTGGATTTTGTCATTAAAGGATTAAAAACAAGAAGACAATTGTGTTAAAATTAATAAAGTGCAAGATTGTAAAAAATATATAATAAAGGAACTCATAATCACTGAATAAAACCCAGTGAAAGCAGTTGAATCAAACTTAAATATTTATTCATAAAACTCTAAGTCCCGCTACAAAAAATGAGTACATTGCTGTAAAATCTTACATCTTTCACTTTACATCTACCCCTCAACAAGCATTGTATCCCTTATGATATATATATAAAAACAAAACAAATATACAGCGACTGAATTTTATAGTGTCTTTGGTACAAACTATCAGTAACACCTTCAACTGCAGGTCCCTTCATGCCCTTGATAAAACCTGCGCTACTTTCCAATGTTGTCTATTAAGGAAGATGTCGTAAAACTTTCTGACACAATCTGAAACTTACCAAGTTTTCCAAAATGCTACATATAATGAAGCAGCCACTGGAAGACCTTTGTGTCATAACTACATGTCAACATGTATTCTTTAAAAAAAAAAAAAAAAAAAAAAAAGATTCCTTCAATCTTACTGGGTGTGGGTTAGCAAACATAGTTACACTCACCAAATGGCAGCCATTTTCATCATTTTAACATCCTGTACCTCAGTCAAAAAGACCGGTCAGTGACTGCATGGTAACCTCCAGTTGCTAAGAATGAAGGCGTATCCTCCTAATCAGTTGGCAAGTGATAAACGTGTTTGCATTGAGTGTGTTGCACTAAAAGACTCGTGATTGCTTCAGTCACTTGCAGCTTGCCATGGTTGCCAGCAGTCTGCATGGAAGATGGCGACTTATCTGCAAACACTAACCAAACACCGAGTGGTAGTGAAACTGGAAATTTTTTTAATGGAAACAGAGGACATGTGCCTTATGAAATGTATTGGTTTCAGTGGTAAGGCAAAACTTACAAAGAAACGTTCTTTGTTTCCAGTTGGCACCACACTTTTCAAGGTTTCATTACCACTTGGTGTAGTTGATCAGTGTAGACAATTTTTGCATCTTCCGTACAAACTACAAACAACTGTGGCAATCTGCTAGCAACCAAAACAATTGGTAGGAGGTTTGCATTGAAGCTAGCAAGTGCAAGAACACTCCAGTAACCACTTGCCAATCGATCAGGGACTACACATTTTCCCCCCCCCCCTCTACTAGGTCACCGATTGGTCTCTAAGCCTCTGTGATTAAAGCCTTAACTGCTGCTAATTAGAGAAGGGCAATAACAACAACAGCTATCTAGCTTACCGTTTAGCAAGCTACTAACTATTTGGCTAGCAAGACTAACATAACAAAATAAATCTGGACTAACAGTTGTGTGCTGCCAGTGGCTTTCTTACTAAAAGTAACTAAACCAGCCTTATTCACATGGCAGCCATTTTCAGCATTTTAACTACTCACATCTTGCCAGCAACTTTGGGTAGCTACAATAATAGCTAGCCTACCAGTTAACAAGCAACTGGCTACCTAGCCAAGCTAGCCAGAGACTGGTGGCTCTCACAACTGCAGATAAGCTGTTAAACTTGATGGGGAAATATAAAAGTTTAGGAACATTTGGACATTAAAAAGTTCCATAAATTCCCCACATTTGTACCATTTTAGAGTAGGAGGCTTTTCACCTTGAATATTCAAGAAAGTCGCTGTACAAAACAGTAAAACTGAAGGATCTACAGTGCTTTAACAGAAACCACCTTGAATGAATTCTGGGATCAGGGAACTGTAATTGAAAGACATTACTGAAAAACAAAAATAAAAAACAAATGTAATATTGGCATATCATCTGTCTCAAGTGCTACTAAACAAGAATAAAGACACCTACAGACTCCAGGCAACTCATGACACAAAAACATACCACTGCTGATGGACGAGAACCTTCTTTGGTATTACATTTCCTTCGTGAGCCATTTCTACAAAAACCTCTTAAGAAAACAAGTGACAGCAGAAAATGTAGAAAATGACTGATAACAAAAAGAACTAAGGCACATTATGGTAAAGGCAGATCAGAAATAAAAGCTATACATCAGATTTTATTTTCGTTATTGTTGTGGATTTTTTTTTTTAAATTAACCATTGGGAGTTAAAAGGTTTTCAACCAGCAGCAGGGAATATATATGTATATGTATAATATAGTGTATATATTACATTGGTAGTGTGCGTGCGTGCATGCGTGTGAGTGTGTGTTGAGATGTGTGTGTACAGCAAGCAGATACTGCACAGCAAATCTGCCTCGTTTTCATCATCCAGCAGCGTCACCGTAAAGGAAACACAGTCTCTCTCTTCATGGTTTTTCTTTTTCCTGGGTCGATCCGTCCGTCTTTCAATTTGTTGTGTATCTGAGGAGGAAGATATTTGGTTAACAAATGAGCGAAGGAGGATACAAATGTTCTGTTCTGAATAACGTAAAAGAGGGAGAAAGAAACAGGACGAAGGGCAAATAAAAGCATCATATTCTGGCATAAATAAGATAATTAACTTCCAATAAAAGAAATTGAGTAATGAGAGAAGGTTGTCATAAATAACTGAAAGAAACAGGAACGCAACGCTGTATTTAGAAAAGGTTACACTTATGGTACCTGGCAATGATATGCGTGACCATCTTGTCCGTGATGCCTGGACAGATATCTTCAGCTATTCGAATGTTGCGTTCCAGCTCCTCGATGGCCAACCGTTGCTCAGAGTGCTCCTTGTGCTGTTGCTTCAACTACAGAAGAAGTTGAACAATAAGAATCATTTTTGAAAATCTTTTTTTTTTTTTTTTAAATTTTAGCTCACTTCTCTCAGGTTACCACAAAGCCCTCCAACAAAAATCAGCACAAAAGCCCAAAATCAATGGCAGGATAACTACATATTCCCTGGTCCCAAAAACAGTGTCTGAAACAAAAGGATGAGTGTATTGATGTTTAGGAGACTTGTGTATACCAACCTCTGTGAAGACGGGGGAGATGACTGTGGTGAGACTGGCAGATTTACTCATCTGATCCTGAACCCAAGGATGAAGAGAACAAGAAAACAAAAGACGGTGAGAATCTGAGTTATACTGACCTCCAACTTCCTCATATTGCATTAAAAAAAATGTCTGAAGTGTGTACACATTGCAAAGGGTGTAACCTGTCATCTGTGCAGTGTGAATGACACATAAGCAGGGTTTCTCTGTATTAACATTGAGCAGAAGTACTTTGACAACACACTGCAGAATTCCAAAAAGTGGGTCCAACCCAGTACTAGCAAGGTGTAACTAATAAAGTGGCTGGTCAGGCTAGATGATTGAGACTGAGGCTAGCGAGACCATTATGGACCAGACTTCTGATTTGACTTTAGAATACAAGTAAAAACCACTACAAGTTAAAAAACAAAGTAACACACACAGGTTTTATTTCCATGTATGCTAACACACAGGTGGTACTAACATTTCCATTGAGGATGGTCCTGCTATCTGACTTGTCCTGCTTCTTCTTACGGACAGTGGTGAAGGACCACTCTGGAGACTCGTTGTTTTCCTTATTACTAGATTCACTTAAAGAAAAAATGAACACATTTAAATGCACAGATAGATGTCGGACCTCTCTGCTCACACACACTTGAAGACGAAGTTCCAGCTAAATCAAGAGACAATACCTGTCAGAGTCATCTGAACTGTTGTCACTGTGGTCCTCCTCCTTCCACCTCCTGTACCTGTCAATCAGCTCGCTGAGATAGGACGTCTTCTTGCAGTGTTTGACGATGAACTTGTGTTTGAGCAGCTCCTTGGCTGTGGGACGCTGCAGGACAAGAAAACTGTTTGTATTTTGTATTTTTTAGAAAAGAGATTAAAAAAAAAAACCCAAAACAGGTCATGATGTTATTAGTCTATAGATTTAAGATGAAAAGTTAAAAAAGCTTCAGCTTTCCTGGAGGAGATGGAGAAAAAGAATATCAGAAAGATAGGCTGAAAACAGAAGTGACCAGCAGGGGGCAGCAGGATCCAACTTAAATCACACACACAGAGAACAGGGAAGCTGTCCTGAAATATTCAAACCACCCTAACTGTAGGAAATGAAGCCATCTGCGCCAAGCTCACAAAATACTGAAGGGGGAGTTTACAAGGATGGCGGCCCAGCAGGTAAAGCCACCAATGAGAAGCCTAAGTTGCCCTTGATGCCCAATAGAGTTTGTGTGTGGGTGATTGTTAGATATTACGGGCTGCATGAATGGGACTTTTAGCAGAAAGCACTCTGTGTGCTCAATCAGAGTAAAAACGCACAATAGAAGTCCCAGTCCATGCTACCATTTCCCAACACTGACACAGCTTATGAATAATCTGGGGTCAATAAAGCTACATATGTGGTAGCGCGTCTCTCCCTACAGCAGAAAATGCTAACATTTATGACTGATACAACATTAGTACAAATGTAAACTAACTTCCTTAGCTGTGCTAGTTTTTCATATTACTAGCTAATGTAAACACAGTCTAAGACGTGTATGCCGATAGCCTCGTCACTGCCAGGAAATTTAACTCGTAAGCTTTGCTAGTAAGTATACAGAACACTGTAAATAGTGCCTAAGTATTGACACCAGCGCCACTTATCCAAGTGCTTCCCACACCCCGGTGGGCCCAGCTGGGAAGCAGATGGTGTTGACTCAGGCTACATTAACTCAGCCCCAGGTTCACCTTATATCAGCCAGATGTCAGGTGTGTGGTGATACCTGGACAATGTTGAGCTAACGCAACTTCTAGGTCCATAAATGAGCTGTAAACGCCAAACGTAGCCCAGGTTTGACACCTGGAAGCGACTGCCATCTGGAACTTGTTACAATCTAACAATTTTCTTAGTTGTATGTGGTCACCAGTGTAACAAATACCAAGTAGCAAATTAGTTTTGTAGTTCAACCTACTGGTTATTAAGTTAATTTTTCAAATAACCAATCTGCTTCTGTTACAGTGTTTCTGGATGCTGCTCATAATGTTATTCAGTTTCTCAGACTTCTTTTTAGCTGAACAGTGACAAACACACGTGCCAGAGGCAAGATTAGGGGAAAAATTAGTCGAGGTATTGCGATAAAAAACAGTGAACTTTTTGAAAGCAGGTGACTCATAATGTGTCATCGTCTCATAGACATCCAGAGTCTTTCGGTGACTCACAAACTAACAGATACTAAAACTAAGGATGTTTTCCTTTACATTTTTATTTTTAGCTTAGTTAGTTCTCTAGGAAGTTCACAAAATTGTTTCACTTAGTTTTCATTTTTTTCAAAAGTAATTTTTTTTTATTTTATTTGAGTCAACTAAACTGTATGTTCCACAATGAGTTTTAGTTTTAGCTAGCTATAATAACATCGCATCTTTTACACTGTCAGCTAGTAAGGAACTCCATCAGCCAGCGACATACAGACCGAGTGGGCTAAATTAAGGGAAATCAAAGCTAGTTTCTCGTGATGTGGTGAAAGAAATGCTGCAAATATCAAAACGCTAAGCAGTGAGTTAAACTCACATTTAGAGGTAAATGTACAGAAGGCTACATGAACTCTGGGTTTACAACAAAACATACAAGGCAGCTTATTTTGGGTAATTGAAAGAAAGAAAAAAAAACGACCTCAGAAAGTTACCAACACTGTTGGTCACATAAATGCAACTGCTCTCTTTCCCCATAAAAACAAGATCTGACGACCTCTCCTGTACACTCAATGGCATTTGATGCCTCAGTATATATCAATAAAGACACGGTTTGACAACCATTGGGATCGTTTCTGGGTTTTTCGCAAGGGCAGAGACCACCCTCACTAACTTCTGATGCACACAGAGTTATTTTGTTCGACAAGCAGGAGCGAAATGTGACAGAAATTACTTAGTTCAGAAAAGAGAAATATGGATTACTCCAAGTAGGAATTAAAGGGATAAAGCGCTAAAGTAAAACCAGAAATGTCACAGAAATGCAGAGAGAAAATTTTAAGCACTTTCCACCAGTGTTAAAATAACATAGATTTTAATGTGAATAGAACTCAAAGGATATGGCAGCTAAATACTTTTAAATTACAAAGCCCTCAAAGGTTTATTGCATTAAATGCATGTCAGCTGTGAGTCTTACAAAAGAAGGGTCCTTGTTGAGGCAAGCCTCTGTGAACTCTTTGAAGCTTTTGGAGAAATCACCAGTCAGTGTTGGAGGAGGGGATTTGGGGATGTGGAAGAGCACTCGCATTGGATGCATGTCGGAGTTCGGCGGTTCCCCCTTGGCGAGCTCGATGGCCGTGATGCCCAGCGACCAAATATCCGCCTGGGAGGGGCAAACAATAAACACATTTACATGTTATTGACAGTGATCAAAGTTTTAAACAGACTTTTTGCATGTTTATAGGTGGATTATGGCTATGTAAAGCAGACATACTCATACCCAGACAACACAGGGGATTTTGTATTCTTGACAACAAACTGACAGAGACACATGAAGGAATCAGAATTTTTTTTTAACCTTATAAATGACTTTAAACATTCATGTGATTGGTTAAAGATTATTTTAGCATAACTTTGATACAGGAATACAGGCTGTACAGCTATTAATATATAAAGGCAGAAACACGCCAACATGCTGAGTCAGGCTGACCTTTTGTTTGCACGGTGGCTGGGACACCCACTAAACATATGTCAAGCTGGTAAGGAGGAACACACACACACACACACACACACACACACACACCTGTATTTATATCCTCGTGGGGACATCTCATTGACATAATGCTTTCCCTAGCTGCTTACCCTAACCTTCAAAAATGAATGCTTAACCCTGATCCTTACCCTAAACCTAACCATAACCTAATTTTAAACCTGACACTAAAACCACATTTTGAGTCTCAAAAATGCCTTCAAACTTGTGGGGACTGTGATTTTGGTCCCCACGAGGGCTGTTTGTCCCCACAAGTATAGTAAACTACCAATTTTTGGTCCCCATGAAGATGTTAATACCCGTCCACACACACATACACACACAGCAGTTACTCATGCATGAAAGATTGAATATCCCATCTTCTCAACTTGCTCTAACAATCATGTGGCAGACCAGGCAAGAAGCAGACATTGTCTTATATATGCACACACACAGACTTCAGCTGTAGCAGTGCTGTTCAGGGTCACATTACTACAAGATGCTCAGTCACTATTTGACTGTTAACTCTGCCAGCTCCATTACAGTCACACTGACCATATGGCAGCATGTGGTAGGAATACACACACACACACACACACACACACACACACACACACACACACCCCCCAATGGAAACCAAATGGTAGAAAACAAGTTAATCCTCAATAAATACCTACAAAAATCCTCATCTAGAGATTATTCATGATAAGGTTTTATTAGATTTCTTCCATCTAAAGACGAAAAAGACCAAATTTGTGTCTGAGTCTGGGTCCCGTTAAGTTGCACTCAAAAAAAACCTAATAAAACTCCAGCAAATAGAAAAATGCTGCAAAAGCACTAAAAATACAGAGAAAGTAGAATAAAATTTTATTTATATTGGCGCAAACCAGGAACAGCAATGTGCCGTGACAGATTGGGTGTGAGGGAAGAAAGACAGGGCAAAAACAGGAAGGTTTCTGGGGACACAATATCGTGACGGACCACTGGCAGAAGAAACAAAATGCAAAACATGTAAAGGACTGCACTGAGGCACGCTTAAAAGAAGCACAGATTTCATCATTGTTGTGAGAGGAAAACAAGACGAGGTAACGTGTGTTTTAATCAGTGATTCATATAATACTGTATATTCATGTTAGCCATTTACTGCTAGCTTGTCACTTCATCAGGTCGAACATTGCATTGTTTCCCCAATAACACGTCTGCTTTGTTTCATCATTTATGTATTTATTTATTTTTTAGCTTTTGCAGTGTTTTCTTTTCTCTAATGTAATGTCATAAATTCTGTAATATGTAGAAGGATTTAACAAAAATTAGTTCTGTGCCTGGAAAGTTTTTTTTTTTTAAGTAGAAGAATAAACAAAAACTATCCAGGTGAGTGTATGCACAACTCTCACCTGTAGCTCAACACAACATAAAGTGTAGGAGGCACCACCTTTTTGAACTATTAACCTAGCTGGAGGCAGACCACTATTATTTAAAAAATAGATAAAGAAATAAAAAAGGCGATCCAAGCCTCTTCCACCTCTAATACAACCAGTGATGCAGAGCAGCTGATCTGTGCATCAGATGAACCCTTACACTTATCTGCAGTTCGATCTGGCTGAGGTTCCCCCCACTTCCTGTCTGCTTTTTTTTTTTTTTTTTACTTCTACGGACTAAACCCCACAGGAAACTGTGGTGTTAGTGGCAAACAGTAGGGCAGAGTTAAAGAAACATATTCAACTTGTAAAAACATTTACATTTCTCGGTCATGTCACTGTCCTGAATCAGCCTCTGGCAGGCTTCTCCTCTGTATTTACACTGCTCTCACGCTAATGGCTGTTCAGGCCAGTCACTGAAAAACAGGGCAAAACTTCTTAGAAATATAACTGAATTATGGGTTATGAGTGGCTGTAACATAAACTAACAAGATTATTTTGAGAAAGTTGAAAATACTGCTGGATGACAGAGGAAGTGCTTCTGTAAATGGTGCGGAGATTCAAATACCTCTGGTCAAAGTCACATGGTCGATGTATTAATAGGACAACTGACAGTCTGTGACCGAGTCTGATATGAGATTAGGCAACACACACACACACACACACACACACACACACACACACACACTGCAAAGTACAATGGCTGTCTTCTGTTTGCAGGCTTGTTCTAACTTCTCAGGTTACATTTACGTAACCAAACCGCCTTCGGTATTTCAACAAGTTGCATTTTGTCTTCCTTCCCTTTAAAGAGGGTTTTAAAAACAAAAAAAACAAAACAGTACAGACTCAAACATTCATTCATACTTGAACCTGTTTTTGTTTTTCACAAACTACATGATTATTCCTTTAAAACTAAAAAAAACCCTTTAAATCAGGGGTCCCTAATCTCACTCCACGAGGGCCGTTGTCCCTGCAGGTTTTAGATGTGTCCTTCATCCATCACAGCTGATTTAAATGGATAAATTACCTTCTCAACAAGTCTTGAAGTTGTCCAGAGGCCTGGTAATGAACTAATCATGTGATTCAGGTGTGAGATCTAAAACCTGCAGGGACACCGGCCCTCATGGACTGAGATTGGGGACCCCTGCTTTAAATGATGGTCTCCTGCAGATATTTGAGCAATTAAACTGTGCCAGAGAGATAATGAACGAGTCCGGCTTAAATTAGTTTTTGGTCACATTTCTAGATCATTTATAGACCTTTTTTGTTACCTGATCCCTCTAAGGCCAAAATACACAATATAAATCACAAAGGCACATGAAGGCAGCGTTACATATACGCACATGAACCAAACCACATCAAGAGGTCAAGTGAAAACACCCTAATGGATCTGCCTTATTTCCAAAGAACACACTTATAAAACAAGCAGACAGAAAGCAGCTCCGCCTCTTTATACAAATTTCATCAGAGTTTTGTTTGCTCTGTGACTGGCATCAAAACCTGCGTGTTTGATGCCAGCAGGTGCAAGGTGCATTCTAACTCCATTCACTGCTGAAGTCATTGTTTTGATACACAAACAAAGGACACGGTGAGGGAATCCCTTCTAAACTGGGGACCAAGTGGACCATCATCATCATCATCATCATCATCAAATAAAAGCTAAAATCGCCACTATGGCAGCAGCGTCTCTATTGGATGCAAATAAACCCTAGAGGACTGTGGAAATAATGCAAAGTGGGCCACAACAACAAATCCACATGTGTTCGGTTGCTACAGCAACACGCAAACAGAGTAGGAGGAAAATCACAAAGCTGGATAGTCTATTGTTTTTATTTTTTAAGACCTGGTAGACTTTTAAAGGGTGAGATACGCCTGTCTTGGTATAAGGATAGGTGCTGTTTGAATTAACTAGGAAAATTTGCACTAATCTAAAATATGGTTCTTTCAAAATAAGTCTCAAACACTGATTAGAAGTTTTCTGTTAAAGGCTTTTCAGGTGTTGCACATAGGTAATAGTAATAAATAAAAAGGGGGTTAGAGCAAACTGAAATCCTACTCCTAACCCCTGTAGGCTTCAAGAGGTTAGACTGTGCGTCAATATGCTTGAGGCAAGAGAAGAGTTATTTCCGAAACTTCGCTTCAGGCTGAGGCAAACAAAACAAGGTGCCAAAGACTTACTCAGCTAAAATGTGCAGTCTTCAGTTTTCCTCATAGAACTTAATGGAATAGAATAGAATGTAATTACTCAGTTCCTCAAACAAACAAAAAGAGAAGTGTGGGCATATTTAAAAACCATATAATTAACAAGACAGATGTTTGAGGATGATGAGAGTTTGGAGTTGCTGCTAATGCTACGCTAAACTCTGATATAACCGCTAGCACCACTGCTGTAAAGACTGTTGCATTAAAGTTTAACTTTCAATTATATCATGTTTTAATTCCCGTCCCTCATAGTTTTTGTGTCCGTGATTTCTACTTTCTCTTTTGGGGCTAATAAGGTTCTGTCTTTTCACTACTTGCTAAATACAGTACACAGCTGTTAAACCTGACCTGATGCAGGACTAATGGTATCACACCGGTGCCTGGTTGTGTACGTCTTCAGCTATGCAGACTGACCGATGTTAAGGATATGCTACCAATATAACCATGATCGCCTGGAGGGGGCTGTCTATTAACTGGAAGGTCAGTGGTTTGATCCCAGCTCCTCCAGTCATGTCTTTGTGCAAGACACCGGAGCACAAATTGTCCTAAATGCATCCACTGCAGTGATTTTGTTAGTTTTAAAGTGCTTAAAGGCACTGAATAAAGTACTGTGTGAATGGGTGAATATGGTTTGCAGTAAAAAATGCTTTGACTCCTCAGTTAAAGTAAAAATGCGTGCTCAAATTGAGTAGAAAAGCACTACATAAGCACCAGGCCACTTACCCTTTCACCTGACAGTGAGGACACTATGTGCAGGTCGCAGGGTGAGAGGAAGAATCGTGAAGAAAAAAACCCAAAAAACAAAAAAAACTGAACAGGGGAAAAATGAACAAACAATGGCTGCATGTGGACAGTATTTATTCTTTCCAGTTCTCACGTTCACGGCTTATTGAAATTCTATCTTCTCAGAAGCATGAGCTAAGCTAAAGCTCCAATAAAAAAAAATCACTACAGAAGAGCTGCCCCACTTGTGACACTATGCAGCTACAACAGGTAGAAGAACGTCGGCAAATCTCTGTGTAGCAACTACGACTATCAATTCAGCATCACAATCAGGCCTTTTAGAAATGCATGCTAACATGCTAACAAGCACAGGTTTCTCCATTCCTTAGCGTTTGTATTTTTGACTATAAAAAGCTATTAGCTTAACATAAGACTAGTTTTATACTTTATTTTGTTGTGAACCTTGCCCAAAGTCATTAAACTTATGAGAAAACAATTTTCTCTTAAGTTTAACAAATTTATTAGACAACCACCCAATATTAGGGTAATGCCTAACTTAACAGTATAGCTAATACACCAGCATGTGCAAGCTCTTAAATGAAATCAAATTTTAGCGTATATTTTTTGGAAAAACACACCCAAAAACTATATGCAAAAAGCAACAACAACAAAATAAAGTCTAAAAATAAATGTGAAAGCATGCTTTGCCTACTGTCCTTTTGTGCAAATAAGACATATATAGAAAGGTATGACTGTCGTGCCTTGCATACTTATGGCACCTCAGACATAATTGGATAATTACAGTTTCCAAGAGGGGCTGAATGGATGTGAAGAAGGGCAGCACAATAGAAAGTATTTTGTTTGTTTTACATTTAACTCGTGTTATGCCTCCAGGTCTAGTGTAATTCTGATCAAATTTGGCAGTTTTCTTTTGTTTTCAAGCACATGCTCAGCAGAGTCGTCAAGCTCATTGTTACATGGCTGTTGTTGACTTTAAGTTAGAGTTTCATTGTAAGATGGAAGTGGAAGTACAAGCTTCAGGTTTTGATGGACATTTTCAAAAGTTCACGCTGTCCGGGTAATGTAAACAAGCAGA